CATGCTTGAGGTATTCGGCCAATCACAATGCATTGGATAGCTGGCCAATCAGAGCACACCTCGCTTTTCAGACCGATGAGCTTTGTAAAAATTGACGCGTTTCAGAAAGGCGAGGCATAGAGGAGAAACAATAATGTACAGTATGTGGAAAATAATGTGCTTTTTGAACCTTAAACCGCATAAACACATTTCATTACACCAAATACACAAAATAATGTTCTTTTTTGCCACGTCAAATGACCCCTTTAATATTAATATAATAATAATAATATCTGATAATAATTTTACAACAATAATTTCATATGATTTTTTTTTTATATAATACATTATTAAAAGAAATAAAAGTTGTATCTGGTAGCTTAATTGACTATCTGAGTTTACATGAACTAACAATGAACTTCAGTATTTTTTAAACTAAATTTAACAAAGATTTAAAAATACTGTGACAAATGTATTGCTCATTGTTAATTAATTTCAGTTAATACATCAAATAGTGCATTAACTAACATTAACTAGTGCAACCTTATTGTAAAGTGTTAATTTTAATCATATTAAAATTAATAAATGTTTTAATTTTAATAACATTAAAAGTAGCACATTTTATATATTTATATAATTATCTAAATGTATAAAATAAATATGTTAAAATATTATTATTATAAAATATTATTATTTTATTGAATTAAATGTATACATTATTTATTAATTTGATTAAGAGTATGTAAAAATAGGAATTATAAAAAAATTATTGAATGCTTCATTTCCTTTTTTCCTTTATTATTCTTTTCATTAGTACATTTTATTTTAGTATTATTATTATTAAGAGTATTATTTTGAATATTAAACATCTGTACATGCAACTAGCATGAACAAATAAGATTAAACGTTTATGCATAATTATTTTGGATATTGAGCATAAAAATTAACGAGCAATAATTTGTATGACAGTGAAGTCAGCCAAAATGTCATAATCAGCATAATGACAGCTTCTTATTAGAAATCACCACTGCTGTATTTTGTTATTTTATTTTTAACACCACAGCAGCCCCACTAATGCAATGTAGATAGCTAATATTAGCTCTGGTCATCTGAGTCGACCCACTTGTGACGTGGTTTCTACAGAAGCATATGTCCGTGTTTCTCATGGCAGGTCTGTGTTGAAAGATTTATGTTTTTAACTAAAAGTTGATTTATCTATGGAGATTTTGAATGGGATTTGTACTTCCCGGAAGCCTTCTGTTGCAGTCTGTACCGTGTTGTTTGTTAGTAAGTCGTCCTCTTTCACAATAGCATGTTGTCACGAGTGTGTGTGGATGTTTTAAACGAACCGTATGCAGCTGCAGAAACAGCTGTCCAAAATGTGTCCCTCAGGACTGTTCCTCACAGCAGTGCTTACAGCCGTCCAAGATCCACGTCCTCATCCTGGTCCTGCACGGCGGCAACATCCTGGATACGGGCAGCGGAGACCAGAACAGCAAGCAGGGGGACGTCAACACCATCAGCAGTGCGTTTGATGCTGTGATGCGGGTTCATTACCCCGCTGCATTGGGCCGCATCGCCATCCGCCCAGTTCCGTGTCCGGCCGTGTGTGTGGAGGCCTTCTCTCTGGTGTCAAAGTGAGCATGAACACACACTCAATCCACTGCCAGGAGAATAAACACCACCTCTGGTAGTCATTAGGTAGTGTGGGGTGTAACTTAACCTGGCAACACTTTCAAATTTTTTATATTTCAGTAGATTAACAATTATTGCTTAATAATGGTTCCAGAAAGTGCCTTCGTTTTTATTTTATTTTTTTATTTTACTTTTAATGATCTTATTATTATTAAATCGTAATAAGAAATCATTTCATTCATTTAATATTTATTTAATTTTTCAGTAGATTGACAATTATCATTTAATAATGGTTCCAGAGTCCCTGCATTTATTTTATTTTATTTTAAATGGTAATAATAAATAATTTCATTTATTTGGTATAAAAATGCATTACTGCTTAATGTCTCCAGAAAGTCCCTGTAATTAAGTAATTTATTTATTTTCAGTAAATAAATAAATGCATACACACGTACATACTTTTATTTATTTGATATAGAAAAATAGATTAAAATTATTGCTTAATAATGTTTCCAGAAAGTCCTTTATTTTATTTACTTATTTATTTACTAATTCATTACTTAAATGAATACTTTTTAATTAATAAATACATTTATTAATAGATACTTTTATTTATTTGGTATATGGAAAAAATTGATTATAATTATTTTTATGTTTCCTGAAACTCCCTGCAATTAATCAACTAGTTAATTAATTAATTTATTAAATAATAATAATAATAAATACTCATTTATGTTTATTATTATTACTTCATAATAATAAATAATTTAAAAAAATGTTCAAATGCTGATGTTTATTTTAAATTTGAATTATATTTTGTTTTTTTTATTAGTTAGTATACAGTGTAAATGTATCCAAATATGTTTTAGTCTGAGATCCTTAATATTTTGGCACCAGATCTGAAAGTTATACATTTTTATATAAATCACTTAAATAGTACGCTACATTGTCAGTGCCTTCACTGTATCACATTTAATTTAGTAAGTAACATCCAGTTGTCATTTAACCAGTTAGCAAAAAACATCCAATTTTGTGTAAAATGCCTTATTTTTTCGCAGTCCATTCAAATAAGGAGTGAAAAACAGATGTCAAATTGTTGTTGATATCGATTCATTCATTACACCTTTGAAAACATGTTGCATCGTGGGATAGAGTATTCACTGCTGTAAGCACAGCACATTTTGGCAAATGCAGTAGATCATATGAGTGTTGCATGAATGCTGCAGAAAGACTAGTATGGTAGTATGCAGTTCTTCGTGCTAATCCGGTGTGGAAGACTGTTGGTGGCTGGTAATGACCCAGCATGCTCTCTGTTCTTGTGTCCTTGACACAGTTTGAGTCCCTATAGCTATGACGAAGGCTGCCTCTCCAACAGTCAGGATCACATCCCTCTGGCTGCCCTGCCCCTATTGGCCACCTCTGCACCACAGTACCAGGACGCCGTGGCAACGGTCATAGTGCGAGCCAATCAGGTCTACGGTGACTTCATCAAATCCCTGGAGGGAGCCACTTTCACCGGACAGGTCAGTGCTTTGGGTTTTTCTCTCTGTGTGTTTTTACAGATTATTTATAAATTGTGTGCCAGTGAAATATGCATCTAGTTTTAGTGTGTTTGATGAAGAGTCTAAAATTAACTTTTGGGATCAATGTGCTTTGTTTACAGAAGAAGAACATCAAATGATGTGTTCTTAAAAGGATATCATTATTTTAGTATCATTAAGATTCTATTATAGTTTTTATTTTGTTGGCATGATAAAGAGTTGCTGTATCTTTTCTAACTGATCGGACTGAAAAATCTATTAAGCCCCGTTCACACCAAGAACGATAACTAAATAGATTACTATAAAGATAAAGATATTAGCGTCCACACCAGCGAACGATATTGTCTTTTTATTCTAAGCACACGCGCGTCTGCCGCTTTAAATTCTCGAGCTCGTTACAGCAGGATGGATTCTGATTAGGTGTCAATGTTTGTATCGTTCATCAGCTGGAAAAAAATTGTTCTGAAAGTGATTCCAACGATATCGTTTCTCTGTGCCTTTATCGTTACAGCTGTGGTGTGGACTCTGCTATACTTTAATATTGAGAACGATTTTTAGAACTATATCTTTATCGTTATCTTTATAGTTATCGTCCTTAGTGTGAACGGGCCTTTAGACTTTCATTGACGGAATGTTCCAATGCGGCAAGATTGTTCAAACGCCAACTGTCAAACATTCAAATCTATCTAGACTAGCAACTAGCTGGACATGCTAGCTAGTAATGTTTTAAAAATGCTAGCAACATGCTAAATCGTGCTAACAAAATGCTAAAACGTAAGCAGTGTGCTAAATTATGCTAGAAACATGCTAGCCTGTTAAATTGTTAACAAACATGTTAAAACTTATTAACATGTTAAAAACATGTTAGTAATGTGCTAATTTAATAGAAACATGTAAGCAAGTTGTTTAATCATGCTAACAATATGTTAAAAGGTTAAAACAAGCAAGCCATATGTTAAATCGTGTTAGTAGCATGCTATAACATGTTAGCAGTGTGCTAAAACATGCTAACAATATGTTAAAATGTTAGCAATGTGCTCAATCATGTTAACATGTTAAAACTTGCAAGCAATGTGTTAAATCATGCTAGCAGCATGTAATGACATGTTAGCAATGTGTTAAACCATGTTAGCAATGTTAAATCATGTTAGCAATATTTTAAAACATGGTAGCAATGTGTTACATTGTTAGAAACTTGTTAACAGCATGTTAAATCATGCTAACAACATGATCAATCAGCTAACAGTGTGTTAAATCATGCTAACAACATGGTAAATCATGCTAACAGTGTGTTAAATCATGCTAACAACATGGTAAATAATGCTAACGGTGTGTTAAATCATGCTAACAACATGGTAAATCATGCTAACAGTGTGTTAAATCATGCTAGCAACATTATCAACAACTAGCAATGTGCTAATTCAGCAGAAACGTAATCAAGTTGTTAAGTCATGCTAGCAACATGTTAAAACATGCTTGAAACATGTTAGCTGCATGTTGAAACTAGCTAGCAATTAGGAAGTAAAAATCAGCAAACAATGTGGAACCAATTAAATAAGAAACAAGTGTTTAAAAAAACTTCCAAAATCACATTATATAAACAGCAAAATTCAACAGGCTTTTCAAAATCCAAAATATTGCCAAACAGGCGCTTTTGCATCTCGTTTCGAAACTAAATCATCCGCGATCGTCTTGTCTGTCTCACCTCACTCTTCTTGTCAGTCAGCTCGACTCACTCTCCTCACTGGAGAAATTAAATCTGATCTGTGATGCGACTGTCGTTCGGCATGCTGCATTGAGCAGCCGCGTTCAGTTTTTAATTGTAGTGTCTGTTCTTTTACTGAACTAAATGATTTTTATTACTATAAAAAATCAAAACGACGGTGGGGGTCGGTGACGCGGTGGGCAAGTGACGTAACCGGTGTTGCGGCTTAACACCGGTATCACCGTCAACACCGTCTATCGCGGCAAACCTACTAGCAATGTGCTAATACATGCTAGAAACAGGTTAACAAGGTGTTAAATCATGCCAATGACATGGTAAAACATGTTAGCAATGTGCTAATTCAATAGAAACATGTAAGCAAGTTGTTAAATTATGCTAGCAACATGTTAAAACATACTAGCAATGTGTTAAATCATGCTTGAAACATGTTCGCTGCTTGTTAAACTGCTAGTAACAGTGACATTACACGTCACATCATGGAAGTTTGACTCTCTGTGTGTGATGTAATGCGTGTCTCTGTGCAGGTGTGTCTGATTGGTGACTGTGTGGGAGGCATTCTGGGATTTGATGCTCTCTGCAGCAGCAACGTCACCACTGTGTCAGATAGTCAAAACAGCAGCCGACGTGGCAGCATTGTCAGTGTGCAGGTGAACACACACACGCACATCCAGACAGTGATTAATTACCCGTAATCAATCACAACATAACAGATAAGACAAATTGCATCCTTTTGTATTTGTAAGTGTGTCAATAGCAGTAATAAATCAAAGTCTTTTATTTCAGAAGAGCAAGAAAAATGCTGTTTTCCATCACATGACCCCTGTAATACTAATCACGGCTTCACTTCCTCTGCAGGACAATGACCTGCTGTCACCAGGGATCATTATAAACAGCTCTCACTGCTTGGGCTCGGGTTTGACTCTGGAGGGCAGTCGGCACCTCAGCCGCAGTAATATAGACATTCCTCGTTCCAGCGGTCCGGACGACCCCAAAAAACAGATGCCCCGCAAACGCAGCGACTCCTCCACCTACGAGCTCGACACCATCAAACAGCACCAGGCCTTCCTGACCAGGTGAGCCACTGACCCGATTACATTCTTCAGCCAGGCTGTTTATCATTTAAGTGAATGTCTCTCTTTTATTTGTCATAATTAGGTACACAATATTCTCATGACTGTATTGGAATTTATTTAGCATGTTGGTGAAGCAGATAATATCAGGGATTATTTTTCTATTTCAAGCAATAAGTGGCAGATTTAAAAAATACAAAATACTTTAAAATATTACAAATATTTTACAAAAGGTTTCTCATGGTCATGGAAAACCTGCAAAAAGTCATATTTATTTAATTCCTTTCCAGTCCTGGAAGAAGAGATGAAAAATCTTAACTGATGCAAATTCATGGCCAAATATGTAGTAAATAATGGAAATATTTCAATATTGAATTATATAATATATTATATTATATTAAATTATATAGTATTGTATTATATTACATGAAAAAGTCATGAAAAATTATGTAGTAAATAATGAAAATATTTCAATATTATATTATATATAGTATTTTATTGACTAGATTTTCATCTTGTGTAGAGTAAAACCTTTTAAATAATTTTTTTCATTCTTTTAACTGAATCAGTCAAGTGATTGCGAGGATCAGGCCAAATGATTGATGATCAAAATGATTCTTTAGCAAATTGATCTGAATCAAAATTCTTTGAGGACAAAAATCCTTCTCCAGTAAAGTTAGGTGGACTTTTATTTTGCGCGAAACGCTGCAATAGTTTATTCTAAAAATGAATAATTATTGAGATTGTAAAACTTTTTAAATCGTTCTTTTCAGTCAAATGTTTGAAATGAATTAAAGTGGTTCAAAATCTAAATGATTCTTTAGCAAATAGATCGGAATCAAAATGATCTAAGGAGCAAAGTACTTCTCCTGTAGTCATAATCATTTTGTTTATGCACAAAAAGTGCGAACTCTGCAATAGATTAGTTTAAGAAATTATACTAAATTAATTATACAGATTATTAATTCATAATTTCATACATTTTTTATTTTTATATTATACATTTCTTGACATTTCCATATCAGTGTTTGTAATAACGTAAATAATGCAGTTATAAAAATATTTCTGTAAACTGTGTGTATGTAGTCTGCACTCCAGCGTTTTGAGGAACGATCCGGGTTCGCGCCGGTCCAGCAGCAGTACCATGCTGGAGGGAGGAGGCGCACTGGGAAAGTTCGACTTCGAAGTGTCTGACTTCTTCCTCTTCGGATCTCCACTCGGCCTGGTCCTCGCTCTGAGGAAAACCGTCGTCCCTTCTTTGGACGGTGTGTTAACCTTGAATACTCTTATTATAGATTCTAGTGGATGAAAGAGAATGAAATCGTGTGCAGATTGGATCATTTAAAGTGTTACTTCCTCTGATGGATTACCGGGACTGAGTAATCTCTATTGTTCATGCTGTTTTTGTTCTGAAGTCCAGTCTTTCTAATCTTTTAAAGGCTTCAAACATATTAATCCTATAAGCAATTAAAATCAGTTGCTGGCAGATTATGAGCGATTGTTTTAGAGGGCCAAAACGTGAACAGTGTGCTGACGGGAGTTTCCCAATCCAACATCTGTTATATAGAGCTCGTCAGACAAAACAAACACAAGGATCAATGTGTCGAATGAAATATTGAAGGCATAACCAAAGGCAACATTTTTTTTTTTTTAGCTAGTTTGTGATGGGGAAAAAACTGAAAATACACTGCTGTTCAGAAGTTTTGGGCCAGTCATTTTTTTAAAGAAATTAATACATTTATTCAGCAAGGATGCATTAAAATTAACAAAATTGACAGTAAAGACAATGTTATAAAATATTTTTATTTCGAATAAATGCTGTTCTTTTGAGCTTTCTATTTCTCAGGGATTCCTGAAAAAGTACATTTATCAGATTCCACAAAAATATTACCCAGCACAACTGTTTTCAACATTAATGAATAATAATAAAAAGTGTTTCTTGAGCAGCAAATCAACATATTAGAAGGATTTCTGAAGGATCATGTGACACCGAAGACTGGAGTAATGATGCTGAAAATTCAGCTTTGACCACAGGAATAAATTACATTTTACAATATATTCAAATAGAAAACAGTTGTTTTAAATTGTAATAATATTTCACAATATTACGGTTTTTGCTGTATTTCTCATCAAATAAATACAGTCTTAGAGAGCAGAAGAGACTTCTTTCAAAATATTAAAAAATCTTACCAACCCTAAACTTTTGAACTATAGTGTATAAGTGAGCTATAACAAACCAGCTGAGTAAAATATGTGTTTTTATATATTAATAAATGTATACCAGAATTTTAGATCAATTTAACATGTTTTCTTTTTTTTCATTCTTCCGTCCTACAGTGGCTCATCTTCGTCCGGCGTGCCAGCAGGTTTACAACCTGTTCCACCCGGCGGATCCCTCCGCCTCACGTCTGGAGCCCCTGCTGGAGAAGCGCTTCCACCTGATGCCACCATTTAGTGTGCCACGATACCAGCGCTTCCCGCTGGGTGATGGCCAGTCAGCACTGCTGGGTAAGAGTGGAGAGATTTCTCAGTCAACACCTGCTATGACCCGGATTACACCTGTCTGGAGTGATCTGATCACCAGTGGTCAGGCGAGACAGAGCATTGGTTTTCACTTGGTATTAACATGCATCTCAAATGCGTCTCCTCTGACCACTCGTGATTGGATTTTGGGTGGACGGTCCCTGATTTTATGATTGTTTTACTGTCGAGATACGATTATAGTTTTGTTAATATTTTTCATTTTTATTCATATTTTTATTATTTTTTTTCTCTTAATTGTAGTTAAAGTTTTATTATGTTTTAGTTTTTTTTTGTATAATATTTATTTGTTATTTTTTTAAATGTCTATATAGTTTTTATCTAGTACATCAAGGTAAACTAAATGACAATAAGAAATGTTGCCTTGGTAAGTAGCTGAAATTAATATTTGTATAGATTTTTTTTAAATATAATTTTAATATAATTCTAAAATATTTTTATAGTTTGTTGTGTTTTTTTTTATATTTTTTTTTATATGTATATGTAGTGTTTTTTGTTTGTTTGTTTTTAGTTTTAGTGCATCAAGGTAAACTAAATGACAGTAAGACGTGTTTCCTTGGCAACTAGCTGAAATTAAATTATTTTATTTTATTTCAGTGAATGTTTTTTAATTTTCATTTCAAGTAACAAAAATGTTAATGTGTTTAGTTTTAGTGTGTTTTCTATAATATCCCTGCTGCAAACATCATTCGCTATGTGATGTCTCACTGCGTGTGATTAAAAATGCAAAATATGCCAAAAAAAAGCCCAGAAAGCTGCACATAAATGTCTAGTTTACATATTTGTTTTAGTGCAATGGATGACTGACAGGTGAGTAGCCGGTCTTTTGTCCAGGATGCATTTGGACAAATTACAGTAGCATTTACACTACAAATGCAATTCGGTCACGTGCATTTCTGACGGATCACAGAGCATTTTGGACCTCGTTTGCACTTGAATTTGTCATTGTACCACCCAAAACGGTTGTTAATTCCAGTGTAAACAGGGCCAATGTGTGATCACCTGTATTTCATTATTATTTTAATGGTTTAAAGCAGCACTTTGTAAAAGAGCATCGTCCATCACTGCAGTTCTGCTGTGAGTTTGCGTCACGACTGCTGTTCTCGTGTCTTGGTTCGTGTCATTTCTGTCTGTTATTTGTCTTTATTTTCTGTTTCTTTGTCTCTCTCCCCTTCCCGTCGCTCTCATGTCTCCACGTCCCTCATGCCGCTGGGTTTGACATGTGGCAGTGGAAACCATCCAGAGTAACCCTCACCTCCTGTTGGAGAGCGTGAGCTGTGCTGCCCAGCGCTGTCAGGATGGCATCAGCGAGACTTCCATTCCCGTCCCTGTGCTCAACTGGCAAGCCATGCCGGCCCCCGCCGAGTGTGTGTAGCCATTCCTGGTTTCTTGCATCCCTTTAGCGTAATCGCCCCTGTTATGTGTGTCACCCTGTGTGGCGTGTGCCCTCATTTCACATTAGCTGTGTTTGTGCGTCTGCTCTGACATTGATTCTCTGATTTGGGCTTGTCCTTTTGAGTTTTGACTGACTTCCTTTCACTGGTTGCTGCAATGTGGAACTGATGGTATTGAATTTAGAGGTGAAGTGTGATCAATGTGTGTATTTGTTTAGTATTAAAAAAACTTCAGTTGATTTTAGTGGACACATTTATAAGCTATTCATGGGTTGACTTGCAAAGAGCGTTACATTTCACCAAAAAAAAAATGTTCTTCTTTTTTACTTGTATATATATATTTAAAAAAAAAAATATATATATATATATATATATATTTATTTTTATATTGAATATGTTTAACATGACATCACAAACCCAGATAAACCCCGCCCTCGGGAAAAGGCAGCAAAGGGGGCGAGGCCATGCTGCGCTGCTTTAGAGAAGAGGAAGGAAACTAGGGGTGCACATAAAAATCTATTCAAATATGAATCGCGATTGTGTCTTCTAACGATTCTAATGAATTCACAAGTTTCAAAATTAATGTTCTAAAGCAGCGGTTCTTAATACTGTTCCTCGTGTCGTGCTGCTCTGCATCTCTTCAAAAATCATGTTTTTTCATTGTGCATTCCAATTAATCTCAATCCTAATGCAGTTTTTTTTTTTTATTAGGTTAAAAAAATAACAAAACAAAAACACAGCTAACTAACACAATAAATTGCAATATACACGCACTAGAGGCGGTTTAGCGAATCACAACACACTGGATTAGCTAACCAATCAGAGCCCATCGCGTATTTCTGAGGGAGGGGCTTCATAAAAGCAGGAAATGATCAACGCGTAAATTGTGAAAAAATTTATTTATTTATTTTTTTTTACGAAGCATTAAAGTGCCCCTATTTATTATGCCTTTTCGAATATTACCTTTCATTGCAGTGTGTCATGTAGCTGTATGTGAACATAAACTATTGCAAAGTTGTGAAGCCGACAGTGCATGATAAATAAAGTTATTGTCTGACAAAAAAAGAGTCT